GAGAAAAACACAGAATTTAAAATGGCAGTAAATAAGCACCTATCAATAATAACCTTAAATGTAAATGGATTAAATGCTCACTCAAAAGGCATAAGGTAGCTGAATGGATATGGAAACATGACCCAACTATATGCTGCTACAAGAGAACCACCTCAGAACAAAAGACACACACAGGATGAAAGTGAAGGGATGGAAAAAAATGTTCCATGCAAATGGAAAAGAAAATAAAGCTCGAGTAGCAACACTCATATCTGACAAAATAGACTTCAAAACGAAGGCCATCACATGAGACAACAAAGGTCACTATATAATACTAAAGGGATCGATCCAACAAGAAGATATAACCCTGGTAAACATATGCACCCAATATAGGAGCACCTAAATATATTTAAAAGCTCCTAGAGGACTTTAAGGGAGAAATAGACAACAATACATGCCAGGGGCCAGCCCCGGGGGTCCAGGGGTTCCCAGAGGTGTGGACGGAGTCGGCGAAGAATGTTTTACACGGAGACAGCGTTCTGAACTCTCTAGCTCTCTCTAGTCTCCGTGGACCTTCCTGTGCCTGGCTGAGAAAGATCCCTAGGCAAGCTGAGCCTTTATTTTATAGTCAGAGGTAAACACGGTAGTGGTTTCCATAGTTACACTGTTCTTGTGAGTTTCACTTGTTTTTGTTCTTGTTGCACTTCCCTCAGCCCATTAGCTTCCCAGGTAAGATCTAGGGAGTGTCATAAGGTCAAGCCTAATTATGCTAAGAGGACTGTGCCCTCTAAGCTGGGACTTGTTTGTGACTTTGCCAGCAGGTCAGTCTGAGGTTTAACCTCATAGTGGCTCCCCACATGCAAATACAGTCACAGTAGGGGACTTTAACACCCTGCTGACTTCACTGGACAGATCTTCCTGGCAAAAACTTAACAAGGAAACAGTGACTCTAAAGGACACACTGGATCCAATGGACTTAATTGGCATTTTAGAACATTTCTCCCCAATGCAGCAGAATATACATTCTTCTCAAGTGCACGTGGGTCATTCACAAAGATAGATCACATGCTAGGACACAAAACAAGTCTCTGTAAATTCAAGAAGATTGAAAACATATCAAGCATCTTCTCAGATCACAGTGAAATGAAATAGAAATCAAATGCAGTAAAAAGACCCCAAAACATTCAAACACATGGAGGCTAAAGAGCATGTTATTAAACAACTAGAGGCCCAGTGCACGGATTTGTGCACCAGTGGGGTCCCTCAGCCTGGCCTGCACCCTCTCTCAATCTGGGACCCCTTAAAGGATGTCAGACTTCTGGTTTCATTAGCTAGACTCATCAAGAAACAAGAAAGAGAAACCAAATAAATAAAATCAGAAACTAAAGCAAAGAAGTAACCACTGACACCACAGAAATAAAAGGATTGTAAGAAAATACCATGAACAGCTATATGCCAAAAAGCTGGATAATGTGGATGAAATAAAAAAAGTCCTAGAAAAATACAATCTCCCAAAACGGAATCAGGAAGAATCAGAAAACCCGAATAGGCCAATAACAACTGATGAAATAGAAGCAGCAATCAAAAAACTTGCCGCAAACAAAAGCCGGAGGTTGGATGGCTTCACAGGGGAGTTTTACCGAACATTCAAAGAAGAGCTAACACCTATCCTCCTCAGACTAATTGAAAACATCCAAGAGGGAGGAACACTTCCAAGCTCTCTTTATGAGGCCAGCATTATCCCAATCCAAAACCAGATAAAGACACTACCAAGAAAGAGAATTACAGGCCAATATTCCTGATGAACATAGATGCTAGAATCCTCAACTAATTATTAGCAAACCGCATCCAGCAATATATTAAAAAGATCATACACCATGACCAAGTGGGATTTATTCCAGGGATGCAAGGCTGGTAAAATATTTGCAAATCAATAATGTGATACATCACATAAATTAAAAGATAAAACTCACCTGATCATATCAATAGACGCAGAAAAATTATTCTACAAATCCAATGCCAATTTTTGATAAAAACTCTCAGCAAAGTGGGAACAGAGGGAGCATATCTCAACATGATAAAGGCCATATATGACAAACCTATAGCCAACATCATACTCAATGGGCCAAAACTAAAACCATTTCCCCTAAGAACAGGAACAAGACAGGATGTCCGCTTTCACCACTCTTATTCAACATAGTACTAGCAATCCTAGCCACAGCAATCAGACCAGAAGAAGAAATAAAAGGCATCCAAATTGGAAAGGAGGAAGTAAAACTCTCATTTTTTTCAGATGACATGATATTGTACATAGAAGACCCTAAAGACTCTACCAAAACACTACTAGATTTAATAAATGAATTTGGCAATGTAGCAGGGTACAAAATCAACACCCAGAAGTTGATGGCTTTTTTTATACACCAGTACTGAATTCTCAGAAAGAGAAATTAAACAAACAATCCCATTTACCATTGCAACACAAAATTAAAATACTTAGGAATAAACTTAACCAAGGAGGCAAAAGACCTGTAATCAGAAAACTATAGCTGTTGAAAAAAGAGATAGAAGAAGATGTAAACAAATGGAAGGATATACCGTGTTGAAGGATTGGTAGAATTAATATCTTTAAAATGTCCACACTACCCAAAGCAATCTACAGATTCAATGCAATTCCTATTAAAATACCAACAGCAAATTTCACAGATATAGAACAAATACTCCAAAAATTTATATGGAATAAAAAAAGACTCCGGATAGCTGCAGCAATCTTGAGAAAGAAGAACAAGGTTGGAGGGATCACAATATTAGATATCAAGCTATATTACAAAGCCAAGGTTCTCAAAATTGTCTGGTACTGGCACAAGAATAGACATACAGGCAAATGGAACAGAACAGAGAACACA